ACAATGAAATATATATATGCCAGTTACAGATAAATTGAAGACAAAGAGTCAAATGGTAAGGAAGCAAATTTTATTGCTCATAATAATGTAACCGCAGGAATGTCGAAAAATAATAAAAATTTTAACAACAATCATATTAATCAACAATACTAGATGAGCTGAAAATTTGCATAATGTATGGATGATATACTCTGACAACAGATTAAAGATCAAACAGACAGGTCAATTAGGCCTTTAGGTCAGTCTGTTTAGGCCAATAATGTATATAAATGGAAGATTTGTTTGGTCTGGTCAACAGACCAAACTGATATGTGGTCTGTCTGGTCCAATAAATACAGTTTTATCATACTATCCACTGTATCACCTCAACAGCATTGTATAATACAGACCACACATCAGGAACCATAACTGAATACAGGAATGATATCTAGACAGTCTGTCTTATGTACAATGTTCACTTATCCGTTTGAACATTTGACACTGTCAAGAAAACCCTAATTTATTCAAGTAAAAATGATATATAACATTTTCTAGGAAATTCTGTCTGTACTTCAGTTCCCTAGTATTTACACTGCAATGTAAAGAAGGACTTATTTAATGACTTACTCTAATTGTTTTCCAACCAGACAAATATCAGCTGTTGTAAGCACCCTTTTTAAACTTGTTCTGGAATATGCTGACTAGTTCTTTGGTCACATACATATTTATACATTGTATATGAAAAACAGATTAACAGGAAAACAGAGAAATTAAGGGTGAATTTGGTTGTACATGGATTAAATTATCATAAATTAATACACTAACATATACATTAACTTGCACAAATGTATCGAGATGCCAGAGTTGAAGTATGAATCTTAGAAGTAAATTTCTATTAATAGTAATGGTGACCTTGACATTGGAACTCTGAAAAAACCTCAAAGTATTGTTAGAGTTAACTGTTGTATAATGTTACCGCAAGAATACCGCAAGAGATGGAGTCTTAAATCAATAATAAATGATTTAAAAGTAATCACAGGAAATCATGGCCAGAAGTACCAGTATATGTCCTCCCAGAATGATCCTTTTGTAATTACATCAATTACATAAGGTTAGTGCACCATGAAACTAGCACTGATCAGAAATCATTTGTATGTCTCTCTTGTTCTACAGACTCATCTTTGGATATCATCAGTAAACATAAGCCATTTGTGCAGTGTTAAATCTCACTGTATCTTGAAGTATGATACAAAATGAAGTTTTCAAAAGATATGTGTACCATATTTCATGTATCAATGACACCTAAGAAATAAGTGTAAAATCACAACCAATGATAAATATGATAAAGATCAAAATGGTTTAACAATTCTGTTGTTTAGAACGACGGACCAACATAGAAGTTTCAGAAAGATCCATCCCATGCTTCTTCAGAAAAAGTCATTAGAAAAATGGAGTGTGGATGGATGATAGACCACTATGTAGGACCATTTTAATAGTCCGCCATCTGATGATGGCTGGTTAAAAAATCACAAACCAATTCAGAGGAATTTAGTGTATGTAATATGTTGTGTTAATAAATAACCATGTGCTTTAGACTATATAAGTGAGTAACCACTGTAACTGATCTCAGAAATAGGGACATTTTAATATTAAGGCACTTACATGTATATATATAAGTGGGCAACAGGAGCCAAAAGTGCACCAGGAAATGTAAATGGTATGTAGCCTTTAATGTAACTAGCCCTAGTAGCATGTGGATAGTTCTGATAAAAATCATAAAGACACTTCTAAAACAAAATTGATATCTTTATAGCTTAAAAGTTAACTGTATTCTTAGCAGTGGAACTGAACACACCATTCAGTCACAGTCTACCGAAGAGATGTCCATCAGAATTGTTACACAACAAAGTAGGTTTATATGATGACCTTGACATCCAACACAAATGTTTTCCTACTTGATTGATACACTTTATATTTTGAAAGAACTTCTTTGGCCTAGGTTACCAAGTGTTTCTCAAAGTCCAACACAGAAGCACCCTATATTTATACTACACAATAAATAAATGATTTTCAATGAATCATACAGATGGATTGGCAAACAAATATTGGCTTTAAAAGTAAGATATAATGGAAAAAAATAACAACCTTTGACCTCTGATTCTGATAAGTCTGTGTTCTGACTAGTACACCATTGAAACATGCAGTTTTTAAACACAGATTATGAACAGTGTACACAATGCTTGGACAGAGTTAATTAATGGACACATGACCCTAAAGAAAAAAATCCCAAAAACTTACTGTTGTCACTTGCGTAGATTTTTTAGAAAACTTTTATGAATACAAGAACCAATTATCATATAATATGGAGACAAGAGAAACTACAAGTGAAGAGAAACAAGTGAAGCTCTAATGATCACCACAAAATAATGATATTCATGTAACCTTTCCAGATGACTGACCTTCAGTCCAACATCGGTGTACAAAACATTGCCTGACGCTCGTTGGTGAACAATACCCAGCAGCGGAAGGAGTTGCAGAGACGGAAATCCTGTCAACCACCCAACCAACCTAGCAACCAAACAGTTTGTCAACATTTGAACAAAAAGACTAGAGGCCAGATCATATCTTATATCTGACAATACAGCCAGTAATTTCACCACACTATCTCGACCAATGATAGCTTCCTAAACCTTCTTTTACAGCCAGTAACTCAGCAATTTCACCACACTATCTCAACCAATGAAATGTCCCTAAACCTTTTATTCATAAGGTAAAAATTGCACATAGATATTACATATATCAATATTATTTTCTGTATTTTCAGATCCATTTAAACCACAACATCTTGCCATGTAGTAACTACTATGTTAGGAACATATGTTATGATAATCTCTGTGTATATATCATGTATACAATATGACTACATATTAAGTACCTACTCAAGACAAGTATTAGACAACACTGACAAAAAAAGCAAAATTGGAATCATACAAAGTAAAAATTTGGCATGTTGATCATATCAATTATCTGTGAAAGTTATGGCATCTTCAGAATATCTGCAGAACTATTGTACACAAAACTGTTCCTTTTACTGTGTTTCTCACATAATTAAGTCAATTCAGTTCAGGGAAAACAAGAAACGTAAGGGATTTGGTTTCAAATAAAAAATTTCTGCCAAAATTAAGCTATTGGTCTTTTACTGGGAATTCTTAAAAAGTCCCATGAGTATCCAATTGCTCCTGTTATCACTCCCTGTAAATGAATCTTCTATTATATTTCACTTCATATTTCGTCAGCTTATACGAGAATTCTGTAACATATGGGTAGGTTTGATGACTGTTTAATAATTGTCATTAAGAGCAATTATGATTTTATTTACATTCATTACATCTTTGATGTAACTTCTCTTAAAATATAAATACAAACGTGCTGTTTTTTTTTCTTTTCTTGGCAGAAATCATTTGAATTTTGCACACAACACCATATATTCATAATCGATAATTGAATGGACATGGAACTGACAGGTAATGCTCATGCTGAGACTGAATGCTACAGATTTAATCGAACATATTGTACAAAATAAATTAATGTAGAAATAATAGAACAACTCTATGATAAATACAATGATAACAAAACATGACAACATGGTAATGTTAAACAAAGAGAAATATATATATAGTATGTATAGAGAGAACATGACAACATGGTAATGTTAAACAAAGAGAAATATATATATAGTATGTATAGAAAGAACATCACAACATGGTAATGTTAAACAAAGATATTACAGAGAAATATATAGTATGTATAGAGAGAACATGTTTGAAAGCAACTAGGTAGAAATTTACAAAGGGAATAGAAATTTGGCAACATTTCACTACTAGTGATTTACATAGACTTGACTATACAGGGCTATTGGTTAACGAGAATTACATGTACTACACATACATAAACATTCATATCATGGCATTTAAATTAGATTTACTTCCACATACCTATTTATACCGTAATAATTCATCACCTCGTAATAAGCCCATGCATTAAGTCTGGCGTAGGCCAGGCTGAGCCTTACACACTCTTTGATATTTTGTTTTATCTTTTCGATTTTTTATTTTAAAAGTTTCCCTTTATTCACCTTTGAATTTTGGTTTTAAAACCTTGCCTTTGGATCCTTCGTCTAAGTGCAATGATAGTTTAAAGTGGCAAACCTTGAAATCTTTCTCTCTGTATTTGTCTGGCTATTTCCAGGATTTTGACCATTTTCTCTCTATTCACTCGACTCTCTCTCCTACATATTTTCTCTCCATTCACTTGACTCTCTCTCCTACATATTTTCTCTCCATTCACTCGACTCTCTCTCCTACATATTTTCTCTCTATTCACTCGACTCTCTCCCCTACATATTTTCTCTCTCTCTCCATGTCTGTCTCTACATACAAGTACTATGTACCATCAACATCATAACATGAACACCAAAGATAAAACAACATTTCTCTTTCTCTTAGTGTGACAAAGTTCCAAAAGGATAAATAGTGCTAGACAGCTGTTTGCGTGACCATTGTAACAAGGTGACAATTTAATGACAGAATATGACCTGTCGTTGTTCTAACAAAGCTGACCACATGTATAACCACTGAATTATATATACAATGAACAATAAAAGGCACCAATATCCTTTGAAAATAATGCTTAGTCCTAAGTGTCCTCTTCATGTATATTGGTATTAAGTTTTGATGGAATGTTCAATTCTGGAGCAAAGCTCTGGTAACACAGATTTCATTGAGAGATGATTTAATCTCTACAAGACAGTGACACAGTCCATTAGTTTACAATGCTGTCACATGTCAGGTATCTTCTGTCCACATCATGCTGAGCCAGTCTTATATCACTTCCTGTGACGTTGATCTGGCACTTACAAAAACACTTGATGTTACACTGACTGTGAGCTAGGGCTGTCTACACCTGAACTCTGGTGACATCTGATCACCTCCAGTCATCAGGCTCAAGGGACATTTCCAGGTTTACAAACACAGTTCTAAATGGCATGTTTTTATAAGTTACTGGCGTCATCGTTTTGTCTTGCCATTGGCGGTGTCTTTCTTCATGAGATTGCGTAACTTGATAAGATTTTGTTTGGTTGTTGAATCGTCAGGTTTCAGTCGTAGAGCCTCGAGATAGCTGAGCTCTGCCTCCACTAATTTTCCATTTAGATGCAACATGGCGCCCAAGTTCATGTGAGCAGTTGCAACCTGTAATAATAGAATCAAACATGTCTCAATTTCATACAGCACACTTTACTAATTAACAATAAGGAGGCCATCAGGTAGGGATACAGATATTTTCAAAAGGACATTACCACATGAAAATTGGGAAATGCTTATCACATTTAATTACTGATATCTTAAAATGAGGTGAACAATGTTACTCAAATACAAGTCTTTATTTAAAGACAAACAGTTGACTTAATCAGGAGATTTGAATTGGCCGATGGCAAAGCTTATGTAATATGTCTGAAAACATTAGTAATATTTTAAAATAAAAGTATTGAAGGACATAGAATATTTACATTCGGTTTGAGGAAGGCTGCCCGTCGATAAAGGTCCTCAGATTGTTTGTTGTCCTGAATTTGTCTGCAACAGAACAGATTCATAAGTTTAAAAGCAAACTCAGAAACATTCCTCCATGACAAAAAAAAAAAAAAAAAAACTCAGGAGCAATGAAATTTACAAAGTGTGTAACAGATTTCGGCTTAAGACACTTAATGAATTTTTTAATTTAATCTTATCATATGAAACATTACCACAAAAAAAATCCATTCTGATGAATACAATATTTAACCTGCATTGTTTTAACATTTATGAAGGCTTTGCTAAAAACTTGATTATCCATTGGTGGGACAAAAAAGAAATTATATTTAAATATCATATAATGTGTGACTGAAGTTTGTATTGTTGATATGGCTGGTAACATAAGGCATTATTTTATATGAGTGAAAACAATTTGACAAACCTGAGGATATTGGCTGCATTAAAAACAACTTCAAAGTCATTTGGTGCTCTCTCCACTGCAGCTAGATACATCTGTGCAGCCTGTTCTAGACGGCCAGATTCTGCTACAAACTGAGCTGTGAAGGAGTAACATTCTTATAAGAACTATTTTCCTTACCAAGTTTCCCCAGATAGAGCCTAGTAAACATTCTATAACCATAACCTGGTATACATAACTATCTTAGACATGTCAAAACAATAATATGAAAGTTGATAAATAAAGAAAAGTTGATCATGAAAATTCAAAAAAATAAAAATGTTGTGAGAAAGAATTTGTTGTGTATGATTTACCATAATGATGTTGAACACTTAAATCCCCTGCGTCTATAGCCTGGGCTTTTTGATACCATTCCTCAGCTTCAGGAAGCATGTTCTATGGGAAAATATTCAAAGAATCAAGAGTTAGCTCCCTTTGTACATACAAGGTACCTGGGGCAGACTATTTCTATGAATATAAACAATTAAATCATGCTTTAGATTTATGATTTTCTTTTCTTCAGGTAAACAGATCATTGATACAACAAAAACATTTCATATACTATGAAATTAAAATACATGATGAAGCATGAATTTTTTGATGAATGGTTCTGATGAACAGATTATAACATATATACAATAAAACCATACAACCATTTTCAAATGTACCTTTTTTTGGAAGAGCTTAGCCATGGTCAAGTGAGCAGGAATGTGGTCAGTCTTGACCCGTAAGGCCTCCTTGTACCAGTACTCAGCATCCTCAAACTGACCAAGTTTTAAATACACTTCCCCTGTAAAACAACATACCAAGTGGAATTCTGTTTACATTGCCTTTCTAGTTTTACAACAATGTTACTGATGACCAGGTGGAATGCTGTTTACATTGCCTCTCTAGTTTTACAACAATGTTACTGATGACCAGGTGGAATGCTGTTTACATTGCCTCTCTAGTTTTACAACAATGTTACTGATGACCAGGTGGAATGCTGTTTACATTGCCTCTCTAGTTTTACAACAATGTTACTGATGACCAGGTGGAATGCTGTTTACATTGCCTCTCTAGTTTTACAACAATGTTACTGATGACCAGGTGGAATGCTGTTTACATTGCCTCTCTAGTTTTACAACAATGTTACTGATGACCAGGTGGAATGCTGTTTACATTGCCTCTCTAGTTTTACAACAATGTTACTGATGACCAGGTGGAATGCTGTTTACATTGCCTCTCTAGTTTTACAACAATGTTACTGATGACCAGGTGGAATGCTGTTTACATTGCCTCTCTAGTTTTACAACAATGTTACTGATGACCAGGTGGAATGCTGTTTACATTGCCTCTCTAGTTTTACAACAATGTTACTGATGACCAGGTGGAATGCTGTTTACATTGCCTCTCTAGTTTTACAACAATGTTACTGGCCTAGCTTGAATAGATTTCAAAAGATGCCATAATATACAATATATCTATGATTTGCAATATCAACCTTTTTACATAATCTGTAACTAAACAGCCAAATTTCAAAATTGCAGCATTTTTTTATCTTAAAAAATTATGGAACATGATGAAATATGGTAATGAGATTCCCTTTCCTTGTTGAAATTCCTGCATCACTTACCCATCATGTTGTAGATACTCTGTGGCTGGTAGTAACTGGGCCGTCTCTTCAGTGCTTCCTTGTATATAGCTATAGCATCCTGTCAGCAAAATCAAATTGTCAATGTCAATTCAATAAGTATTGTACAATATCTCTCAAAATGACTAATCATGATACCTGAAAATGTAGCATTGTAGTAACACAGTCGATAAACATTGGAATAATTAAACAGTACACCCAATGATAAAGTAGGACAGGTGTCACAGAAGAAAATGCAACTGCCTTTCATCTAGGTGATAGGGATTTGATTACCCATCTGAATGTGAAAAGGTATGGCATCACTTCAGACCTCTCCAGACAGGTAGCATAATGTTCTAGCTAGTTTGTACAAGTTTCCTCCCTTGCATGCACCTACCTCTATCAACAAGACCTGTTAACGTTAAGATGGTCTTGAAATTTGTTGTTGTAAAATGAACCAATTTTAGCCTGCATGTATTGGAATGATGGACTGGTAGGGTCGTTGATTGTGTAAATACCAGATTTCTTCGTACATACGCATTTTAAATACATATTTAAGAAGGAAAGTCCCATTTTGTCTATTCTGCACCACTCACAATGCTCATGTTACCTAGTAGTAAAGGTCATAGTTTTTAACTTTTTAGAGATGTATATATACCTTGTATACAAGATCTATCACCTTTTTTTACTATTTTGCGATCACATCAAGATCTAGTTGGGCATTTTTTTTCCCTTTTCAAATTCTGATTTCAATGGTGGAAGAGAGCTATTGTTGTAATGACAGTTGTTTGAAGTAAGACTGCAGGGGTAGGAAGGGAGTCACTTGAAGTTAGTAGTAAAACAGATGTTATCGCCTTAATGTCTGTACCGTTCACAAAACAATTACCATATTGTGTTAAGGTATTTAAACTATTTTCTTGCCATGTGTATAAAAATCTCACCTGATGCAGCTCTTAAAATCTCTAACAACCAAGAGATCACTTTGTGCATAATATAGTCGCTTTTTTCCTTGTTTCACATGTGTTTGTCAAGTAATAACATTACAACACAATTAATATCAGGCTTTGTGAATGCTGCTGTGAATATTCTTTTTCATTTCACATGTGCTTGTGAAATAAACAGCATCATCATTGCAGAATGTATAATTACCTGTTAAGATGTGATTGTGTTGACTTTCAGGCCAAGTTTGACTCTTGAATGACAGGTATTTATTACTTTTGATTACTATCTTCATGATGACAAAAAATTGCAATTCAGTATACCTGTTAAGTTTTTTAAAAACTTTTTGTTTATAATTTCCATTTATCTATATAGAAATGTTTAAAAACAGGCTGGTAAACTAAGAGATGTACAATTTCAAAGAAATTCCCATTTATTTAGACTTGAAAAAAATATTCAAAATCTTAAAAAAAATATTGGAAGAGGAATAGATATATTCATGACCAATTTGATAGTATTTTGAAGCCTAATAGTATTGTTCAAAACAGGTGTGAATAACACAATCTGACAAATGTGAGGTTGGGTTTCTGAACAGGTGACAAAGGTGAAGCTGTACAGGTGGGATGATAAGGAAACAACTTCTCGGCAGGTTATACATGTACAGGTGAGACATGGATGGAACATAGCAGACAATATCATCCTACCAATAATTTACATAACTTACATCACAAACATTAAGACTAGCAATTTGTATAAACCTGATACACATTGTGGTGAAATAAGTACTTTTCCATATGATTTATCATTGGCTGACTCATATCTTTAACATATAATTAGGGTTTCGTTGAATGTTAACTAGATTGGTGCTGAATATCTTATGTCTCACTTCAATGTTTTGTATATAAATCTGAATATCTGTATGGTAATATGCTTCCAAATAAGGATGTCAGAAATGAAAGACATCACTTTGTTGATGTCTTGTTAATTTCTCCTAGGAATGGCATTATATTAATACTGGAACAGATTTCTTGTGCAGATGAAATGTTGATTTTTATCTACACTTTCCTCTCCTTCTGAATCTTAATTAACTCATAAATTTGCATTTTAATGTATTCAGATCAGGTCTACAAATGAAGTATTATGTATAAATTGATATCATAATGCATTTATCCACAAACATATGAGATTTTATAAAACAAGTCTTTCAAGTTTTAAAATTTTTTTTGTGAGCCTTGGAAAACAAAAATGAAAAACTTCGAGACAATTTTCATAAAATATCATATGAAATAAAAACAAATTGACCAAACCTCTCATCACTCAGAAAAGTTACATTTTGACAGGTAATTGTCTATATTACAACATCACAATAGAATTCCAAGCGACACAGCCTTTAATTATAGTGACAAATGCAAGAATATGACATAGATGAATTCAGTGAATAGCAGTAGCTTATATGTGATAAAATTCTACATTTTATTTCTCATAGTTTTTAATATGATAAAGTATCTGTAGATATTATTTATACAGATAAAAAGCTATGTCAAGGCTCATTAGAAAGTAAAATTTGATGAGGCGGTTTATTTCATGAACAAACATAGTCTAGGTCTATATCAGAACAATGTTTGTTTGAATAAAGAATCTGTCCCATGATGGAAACAGTCATGAAAGGTTTGCATACCTTGTTCCTTCCCATCTCAGCATACAGACGGCCAAGGTTGTATAAGGCAGAGATCTTGGTGTTTTCATGTAGACGCGGGTCCTTTAGACCTGACGTGTCCAAGTCAGCACAGTGTAAATAAACCTGTAAACATTTTACAATAATTAAGACTGATGTATGGTGGGACAGATGCTACATTAATGCATGTCTAGAAGACTTGGTTGTCACTTAGAATGTGGAGACATGTCTATTACATGTAGAAATGGTTTAAATGTTCTGCTGATACAGTGTACCCTGAACAATGAATTTTTGTAAGTAATTCATTAATATGCATGCTTTTAGCAATTAAATCTTGACGACCCTTAAAAACCTATAAAACAATCCCCTAAATAGTTACTATTAATTATAATATAGATACCTTTTCTGCCTCCTCGTACCTCAACTGCAGGGCATAAATTATAGCCAGGTTTAGATGGGCCACTGTAATCAAATGTTTAAATCATGATAAGTACACGTATATCATACATTATCATCAATATTGTCCTGTTAGGTACTGCTTGTATCCCTCATCATTTATATCTTGTGTGAGGGACAAAAGAAATCTTTATGTGTATATTAATCAAATACCTTGGAGTGAGGAGTCCAACATATATCTTATAATGAAATAGCCAATACATTTGTTGGTAATTACTAAAACTGCAAAGGGAAAGGAGGGGGGTGGGGGAGGGAGGGGGATTGTCATTCACTTTGTGACCATGTTGGTTCAATTTTGGATTAAAGTGGCCAATTTCTATGCGAAATTGTTGCAAAAATCTACAAAACCCACAAGCCCTTTATATTTAACAAAAATCAAACATCTTTCAGGAACTTTTGACCTTTTAAATATTCACACAAGAGTTTCCATTTATCTCTTGCCTTTGCATGTATAAACTTGCAAATGTTCTTATTTATAGAAAGAAATAATGGAGTCAATTGGGCACCACAGCCGTTCTGAATCTTCTGAGGTATCATCTTACAGACTGATATTCAATCCATTTACATAAGAAACCTTGTATTATCTGTCTGCTGAATATCACCTCCAGCGACCAGGAACAATTTCAAGGTGTGGTATATGGATATATAGGTGGATTTATAATATCACAAGCTGATAGTATCTACAGATTCATTTCATGATATCACATACCCTAGACCGAGATTTTATCATAAGATATTGCTTTTTTACAGTTAATTATTCAGCAGACATGTCTTTCATAGTAAAAATCTGCAGTGTTAATGTCAAAACTATTAATAATGATTTATTTTCTTCACAAAATATATTAAGAGACACTTTTTATTGACATTTTCCAAATGTGTTAATTGCACATGTACTCATCAAACTTTTCGTACTTTAGACTTGGTTCTTGGGTGTGGCTTTACAACAGCCGGTGCTGGAGTAATTTCAGGAAATAAAGTAATATAAATTTCTCTGAAATAAGGAAGGCAGTTTAATCTGATATCCACCTTCTTAATGTTTGGAAAAATAACACATTTTAGTTATGGAAAACAGCCTTTAAAACAAAATAATCAATGTTATCACAGCAATCTTGTTTACTCAAATTCTAAATACAAAACTGATCCGGTCGCAAGGAGTGGGTAACTAATCATAAACATGCTGATACAGCTACAATGAAAAGCAGAATCTTAAATTACCTTCTTAAAATTTCTTAAAGAATTAATCAAAACAAAGGAATGCATTTAAATCATCATAACCATGACAATCCAGTGCATTAAGTAGATTTTTCTTTCGATTTATACAAGAATTATCATTTGTTCTCAACTCTTTTTTCCCAAATTCAATCAGTCTCTGCATGCGAAGCTAATTAAAAACACTTGTTACATAATTCCTTTCCCAAAAGGTAGAAATGTCGAGATAACAGTTTATGATCCTTGACTACAGAGAAGATTACAGGCTATAAAACACTTGTTCTAACGCAGACTTTTATCATTAATTCTGTTTGAAGACTATGTTCCCTTTGGTAGGTGTAATGATTACTGAAACATACAGCATGTATAAAAAAATAGGTCTTTAAAACAGCATAACTTCAAAGGTCAATTACATCAGGAAAGTATGCAATGTATTCTGACTACAATGGTGCATGAAGACAAGGAGTCTCACCGGACTCAACAGACCAGTGTTTAGGATAGAAATTAGTCAACTGATCCCTGGATCTATATCCCCCACCATGTAAGGTGAGTAGTAGACATAGATCAATTTATTGGGCATGAACTGTTTCTACCTTCTAAACTTCAAATGGTTTCTGGCATCAGAGGTTTAGTATTAATCAAATGTTCTGGCAGCCATCTGGGGCCTGTTGAAAGCAAAAAGCAGTCCATTGTGAGAAAAAAAAAGAGTTATTTCAACTTCTAGTATATATCTATCTTAACTGAAGCAATATTCTCTGCCTACTGAATGATGCAACACTCTGCCAGTTGACTTCATCTGTACAACATATGCATTCTGTCCACTTTATTTATATACCATATACTTTCAATCCTCCTGCTCATTCTTCAATAGAACATATGCCCTCTTTTCCCTATATCTTTATAACATTAAGGCATACCTTCTGTCCACTTTATCTACATAACAAGTGCTTTTATTATATATAATTCCCCTCTTTATCTGTATAACATATGCCTCAGCACATATGCCCTCTGCTTTCTTTATCTGTACAACATATGCCCTCTTTCCTCTTTATCTGTATAACATACATGTATACCCTCTGGCCCCTGTCCACTTTATCTACCTAACAGTGTTCTATGCCCTCTTTATCTGTATAACATACATGTATACCCTCTGGCCCCTGTCCACTTTAACAGTGTTCTATGCCCTCTTTATCTGTATAACATACAGGGTTCTATGCCCTCTTTATCTGTATAACATACATGTATACCCTCTGGCCCCTGTCCACTTTATCTACCTAACAGTGTTCTATGCCCTCTTTATCTGTATAACATACATGTATACCCTCTGGTCCCTGTCCACTTTATCTACCTAACAGGGTTCTATGCCCTCTTTATCTGTATAACATACATGTATACCCTCTGGCCCTGTCCACTTTATCTACCTAACAGTGTTCTATGCCCTCTTTATCTGTATAACATACATGTATACCCTCTGCCCACTTAATGTGTAGGACAAGTGTCCTATGCCTCCTTCATCTGTAAAGCATATGTTCTCTACCTTCATTACCTGTGTAGCAGGTGCCCTTTGCTCCCTATTTGTACAACTGTTCACTTCCCTCTTTGTCTGTATAGCATTACATGTATACTATGGCCTATGTCCGCTTTAATTGTACAAAAATGCCCTCTACCCTCATTATCTATACAACATGTGCCATTTGCCCACTAAATCTCTCTAACATTTGCCTTTATCTACTTTATTTGTATAAAAAATGCCATCTGCCTTCATCATCTGTACAATATCTGCCTATACATATTTTGACTACATTGATAGAAATTTGTCCTCTTCCAACACTCAATGGTTCCCATGAGTATTTACAATAAAAATCAGTTCTAGATTGTCTATAATTCCAATCTTTCTTACTTGTCTTCATCGTCTCAAGTAGCACAATATACCTAAAAATCATCTGACAACAGCAGGATTTTTATGCCATAATATTGTGTATATCATTGAAACTGTCCCTTGTCATGCTATCCCCTTCAATACATGTGAACATTTATGCCCTTTGAAGTCTACAAAATGTACAACATGGTTATGTTATATACCTGGTACAGGGTTTAAATGTTGGAAACTAGTACTTTTGCACCCTATAAAGGAATCATTAAATCAGATTAATTCAAAATGGAATTTTTAAAAGAGTCCAGGTCTAGAGCAGGGTGTAAACATTGAATGTTTATCAGATCCACAAATCTGTGTTAAATTAACTGATACATCATGGAGATGTCCGCTCCAGAATTTATGTGACAAATTGTACCATGCCTTCCATCACCTGATTTAGTATTAGCATGCAAATGGTGGGATAATGTGTTCCATACCGGGGATTGATCAATATTCATGTGCACCACGTTCTGTGATCTGTAGTGTCGATTCATGTTTTTCTAAACACCCCACCAATATAAAGCCCAAGCCACATAGAGACAGCAATCACGCATACATAAATCTTATGTTTAAAACCCTGCTTCCAATTTAAAGGATGACGGTGAATTCATTAACAACGATTTCAGTGAATTATGAAAATGAAATTCCTTTCAGGTATACAGATTGATGCATAAAATAAGTCAACTACATGGAGCTTGTACATAGCTGAAATATTTCCTCTGATTTAGTTCTTATAATAATTAAAGGCTGCCTTTTCCAGACATTGAGTCCCATGCTTACTCTTCATGTCTTAAATGATTCATTGTTGAAGAAAATTATGGCTTCGATCCTGTATAATATTTAGCTGCAATATACTGTTCAGATATCACTACCAATCCACAGAAAATTCAATAATCTAATATTTTTAATTAGACTATACAGAGAATTCAATAACCAACTTCAAAGTAAATATGGTGTACTTTTATCATCTCTATATATGGATTTCTTTATAATTGTGATGGTATCACATCTAAATTGGAATGAGGCCATATTTCAATTGCTGCAACAGCTGACAAAACTATTTACATACAATAGATTCTAGCTGAACCTAAGGTTAATATAATGATACAGAGTAATTGTCTGTGGAGAACCATCAACACTGACACTGTTTTTCTCTAACAACACACCCCATCCTATCCCATTCCCCTTCCTGGTATCTCATTCAAAGACATCATATCACTGTCACCCCATCCTATCCCATTCCCCTTCCTGGTATCTCATTCAAAGACATCATATCACTGTCACCCCATCCTATCCCATTCCCCTTCCTGGTATCTCATTCAAAGACATCATATCACTGTCACCCCATCCTATCCCATTCCCCTTTCTGGTATCTCATTCAAAGACATATCACTGTCATACTCATGCCTCATATCTCCACAGATTTGATTGAAACTTGTCTGGTACCAAGATGGGAAATATTGATCATTGGATTTGAATAAAAGAAAATGTGAAAGACATCTACATGTCAACATATTACTGAAGCTGTATACAAGTCCATGTCTAACTCAGAAGCCTTATTTACCTAAAAGCCATATACAGTATACCTTCAGCCCGAAAACGCAAAACTGCCAAAAAGTCTGAAGCAGGATTCACACTAATGTATATCTATGTTAGACTGGCTGTGCATTTTGATTCAGCTGCTGGAGCTGAAGCTCCTATGTCTCTTATAAGTAAAATCTTGAGGAAAAGGGCAGATAACATTGATTTTAGAACCTGAAACATCTATTTTGGTTTACAAATTTGATAAAAAGAAGAAAAAAAATTGCCAAAAGTGTCATCTACTTTTACATGTACTTTTATTCAACAGATATACATCTTGGATAGCACATACATATGTATTTCTGGTTACATATGAATCTTAAGATTCTATATATTAAAGATATACGTTATTTATTTGATATAAAATATATCAACATACTTTGAAAATGTCAACTACAAAAAATGTCTTCCTTTTCTAACATTAAGTTATTTTTGGATTGTCAGAAGATATTATAGGTGCTCCTAGAACAAAATTAAAATCCAGAGAATTTGTTCTAATAAAAGTTTGAAAAGAAAATTACAGCACAGATTTCTATTTGAGTGTATTTCTGATTGTGTGCTGCAAGGTGGCTGTTTAGACTTATTACAATCACACTAAACTGTCTTGTATTGTTTACGATTGCCCGTGATCAAGTAAAAAATCTTTAATTTAATCAGCATCTCTGCATTAATGTATACAATTATTGGTCAAAGTTAAAGCAGCAAAAATGGCAAGTAATGTATTACATATGAATATTTCAAATGTCTACAGTGTTCCAGTTTGTCAGGATGGTGGCAGGATCTCTGATTTTTGGTTTTTATTGTTAAACCAGTAAGAACTATTATCACCACCTATAAAATCATCTCTAATTGCAAAAGCAAGAACACTAAATGCTTTCTCATTTTTTATCTGAATTTTCAAATTATTTCTAGTTTGAGTCAGAGACCGTCTGTGTGAAGCCAGAAGTTCTGCATCAAGAATAAAAGCCTCTGTCTACCAGAATGTTTATGATTGGGAGCGGGTGACGAAAGCAGGCTATGCTGGTGAACATTGATTTTAGACACCGACATCTGAGTCCAGTTTAACTACATGATTCCAATGCCAGTACAAAAGCTTGTCACACGATCACCGTCTGTCTAGCATACCCACACCACACACTTGAAATCAAATTTATAAGGTTGTCATATTCTCGATTTTGTTTGATGGGGAATCAATATGATACAACACGGATCACCCTATATGGCGACCCTGTATAGCACATGTGGCATAGGGATGCAGACATCAGGAAGAACATCTCTGCCTTGGTCTCTGGGGATAGTGACATCTTGTATGCAGTGTGTAAATGAAAAGAGGGGAATTTAAGCATTTGAAAAATAATTAAATCAGGTCCTAACAACCTGTCAAGGTAATTACATTATTAAAACTTGTGATTAAATCCAGATGTATCCGATAACATCAAAAGTAGAAGCTGATCAATTTTCCATTTGTACATGTGCTAAAATGGCTTATCTAGTGTAAAACCTGTCATAAAAATGATTTCAGTAACAAGTTAAATTCGAAATGATTTTTGACAAGACAAAAAGTGTCTCCTACAGTTTGTTTACACAGATATTCAATTATTTGGACAATAACTGTTATGGATTTTTTTCACATAGCATACCAAACGCATTTTGAAAGCGACAGAACATGAGTCTTTTTCAAGGTAAAACCTAGAACTGACCAGAAAGAAGAACCGTTCTCCACTGAAGACCCAGAAATGAAGAAGACACTTTATATATTTCATATTTAATTATATGATTTTATACTTGGACCAAAATTTCAAATTAAGAAGATGTCAAAAGCTATTTCATCCTTGATTTAGTGCTGTTTAATATTCCTTAAAGAAACAGGCATATAACTGTCATAGGAAATGAGAAATATATCTATTAAAATTGATTTTGCAATTGATTACAATCTTTCTGTACATACAAATGACCTAGGACCTTTGGTCACATGATTCTTTGTTCAAGTCTTGTTCAACTGAGTGAAATAGTTTGCATTAGAATTTCATAACAAACTCTCTTAATGTTCAGAGTATTGTTTGATTACAACCAACATTTCCATGTTTCATCGAAATTGGTAATATGTTGACTGTGTAGCAATGGGAAATCCAAGACAATTTTTAGCAACTGTGACTTTCATTTTGGGGTCTTATATGTATAAAATGGGAGCTTGTATAAGGTACTGTTTCACTTCTTAACATCTGCATAATTTTCTAGCCATTTTCCTTTAACATTTCCGAATCGTGACTTGTGGGTGACCAGTACTGTTCCGATGAGGATAAAAGCTTATTTCTGTGCTCTATCTCACAGTGTATATATGACTTGGATTCTATTGCTCTTCAAATCCCAATCTTAATCATTTGTGCTTTTATTTGAATAGTTAATAAATAAAAGCAAAGAAATTTTTTTTTCTAACCACTTTATTTGTTCTGTACCAGCTGTTATACAACCGCCCACACCAAGTTTCAATTTTTTTTCTTTAGTGCTCCCGTACCAAGTAATTTTCCTGACAATCTTATTACTTTCATACAAAAACCCCATCAAACCCAGGAGATGGTGAAGGCTCCATCATAAGCATAGCAAGCATGGTTTTTACTAAAAAACTGTTTAACTTGGGCTTCAAACTAATGATGATTCTATAGTGAAAGGTATTAACCCATTGATTTAAAGTAGAGAAAACCTAGAGATATGTAACTTCCCTACACAAAGAACTGTGTTCTGTGGAATACAGCTGAAATAACAATTAAGGATGTGCACAATTTTTGAATTTTTTATATGGCATAGAATTAAAAAACACCTGGAAGTCATTTCTTCATTCATTTCACTAACATAAAATTCTGACAGATTGTAAGGAAATCATTGATTTTTGAAATATAACGGCGCTAAGAAGAATGCCTTCCTTCTTAATAGAATTTTACAAGAAACACATTCTATGTGGTAATATAAGAGAGTTTCTACATCTTCATTAGCCAGCAGTAGTCAAAGAGGAGACAACATCATTCAATTCATCCCACCAATTGTCTATATAACAATGTTTCCCCAGTATTCCCCTATTCCCCCTTGTAATAGACCTGACTTCCCTAAGCTATATATAGAACAAGCCATTTAAAACACATCAAACTGCACATCACTAAAAGTCTGGTTATCTCACTTTTTTACCGTCGGTAAAGTTATGTCAAATTTCATTTGAAATTTTGTGATTTTTATAATCAAGAGTATCACTTCTAGACAGCTTTTTGGGAAAATGAAAACTGATTTTACAGTAAAATCAAAATGAAAAATGAGAATTGAATCGACATTTGTTGACCAACCATTGATCATTGAACAGCCATATCAATTGGATCCACATGTGGCCACCAGCCATTCAGTGCAAACTTACTTGAAAGTTTAGGGCGACACTGTATAGCTCGTTTATAGCTTTCAATGGCTTCTTCATATCTCTTCTGGTCTTGCAGTAAAATTCCCCTGTGAATATTAGAACAAAGTCATATGAATACATGTCCTACATGAATTAAGAATCTGATGGTTGTTTGTTGGTTAAGGGTCTTTTGTCTACAAACAGTTATCAGGTGTAAATGGGGAGTTTGACATTATATTTCCTTGACAGTAGAACCTCTAGGGTCCTTTAAACCTGTTCTGAGTATCTACATTTGATTAAGAGGTGTACATTGTAGGGTGCTCCATCTTAATGTTCGATCTTAAAGTAAAATGAGAAAAAAAGAATACTAAGGATGTTCTTTCCCTAGAAGTGGTCTTACATTAAAGATACCTGTCAACGGCCTTATACAATAACGATCTTTTAAGGTGACCTAATGGCCATACAAGGTCGTACATGATACCCTATCAAGTATTTCTCTTTAAATCTGGAATATTATTTTTTCTTTCTGACACAAGAGTTTCACCTTAAGCATTTCAACGGTATCATTGAAATGTCAATGACAGATTTCTCAAAAGATATAAAGGTAAATCTCAATAAGGTATGAAAATCTACCTGTACTCTAGATAATCAATTTTTTTACTACACAATTAACTCATCACTGTAATTATATTGAACACAATTTTTATTTCGTTTTTTGAGTGTAGAATAAAGACCTTGTACACCAAAGCCATAACAAACTTAATTAAGATGTAGCTTCACCACAATAAACTTAACAGAACAAACAAAAATGTCTATCATCAAAAGGATGCAGAATGGCTAAAGTAAAGGATGCAAACAAGCATCTACGTTACATATAATGTCCAGACTAACAAGGTCCTACTGTACACACAAACCAAAGTGTCCAGACTAACAAGGTCCTACTGTACACACAAACCAAAGTGTCCAGACTAACAAGGTCCTACTGTACACACAAACCAAAGTGTCCAGACTAACAAGGTCCTACTGTACATACAAACCAAAGTGTCCATACTAACAAGGTCCTACGGTACACACAAACCAAAGTGTCCAGACTAACAAGGTCCTACTGTAAACACAAACCAAAGTGTCCAGACTAACAATATTCTACTGTACACACAAACCAAAGTGTCCACACTAACAAGGTTCTACTGTACACACAAACCAAAGTGTCTAACAGGTCCTACTGTAACCAAAGTGTCCTACTAACAAGGTACACACAAACCAAAGTGTCCAGACTAACAAGGTCCTACTGTACACACAAACCAAAGTGTCCAGACTAACAAGGTCCTACTGTACACACAAACCAAAGTGTCCAGACTAACAAGGTCCTACTGTACACACAAACCAAAGTGTCCAGACTAACAAGGTCCTACTGTACACACAAACCAAAGTGTCCAGACTAACAAGGTCCTACTGTACACACAAACCAAAGTGTCCAGACTAACAAGGTCCTACTGTACACACAAACCAAAGTGTCCAGACTAACAAGGTTCTACTGTACACACAAACCAAAGTGTCCAGACTAACAAGGTTCTACTGTACACACAAACCAAAGTGTCCAGACTAACAAGGTCCTACTGTACACACAAACCAAAGTGTCCAGACTAACAAGGTTCTACTGTACACACAAACCAAAGTGTCCAGACTAACAAGGTTCTACTGTACACACAAACCAAAGTGTCCAGACTAACAAGGTTCTACTGTACACACAAACCAAAGTGTCCAGACTAACAAGGTTCTACTGTACACACAAACCAAAGTGTCCAGACTAACAAGGTCCTACTGTACACACAAACCAAAGTGTCCAGACTAACAAGGTTCTACTGTACACACAAACCAAAGTGTCCAGACTAACAAGGTTCTACTGTACACACAAACCAAAGTGTCCAGACTAACAAGGTCCTACTGTACACACAAACCAAAGTGTCCAGACTAACAAGGTCCTACTGTACACACAAACCAAAGTGTCCAGACTAACAAGGTCCTACTGTACACACAAACCAAAGTGTCCAGACTAACAAGGTTCTACTGTACACACAAACCAAAGTGTCCAGACTAACAAGGTTCTACTGTACACACAAACCAAAGTGTCCAGACTAACAAGGTCCTACTGTACACACAAACCAAAGTGTCCAGACTAACAAGGTCCTACTGTACACACAAACCAAAGTGTCCAGACTAACAAGGTTCTACTGTACACACAAACCAAAGTGTCCAGACTAACAAGGTTCTACTGTACACACAAACCAAAGTGTCCAGACTAACAAGGTTCTACTGTACACACAAACCAAAGTGTCCAGACTAACAAGGTTCTACTGTACACACAAACCAAAGTGTCCAGACTAACAAGGTTCTACTGTACACACAAACCAAAGTGTCCAGACTAACAAGGTTCTACTGTACACACAAACCAAAGTGTCCAGACTTACAAGGTTCTACTGTACACACAAACCAAAGTGTCCAGACTAACAAGGTTCTACCTTACACACAATCCAAAGTGTCCAGACTAACAAGGTCCCACTGTACACACAAACCAAAGTGTCCAGACTAACAAGGTCCTACTGTACACACAAACCAAAGTGTCCAGACTAACAAGGTCCTACTGTACACACAAACCAAAGTGTCCAGACTAACAAGGTCCTACTGTACACACAAACCAAAGTGTCCAGACTAACAAGGTCCTACTGTACACACAAACCAAAGTGTCCAGACTAACAAGGTCCTACTGTACACACAAACCAAAGTGTCCAGACTAACAAGGTTCTACTGTACACACAAACCAAAGTGTCCAGACTAACAAGGTTCTACTGTACACACAAACCAAAGTGTCCAGACTAACAAGGTTCTACTGTACACACAAACCAAAGTGTCCAGACTAACAAGGTCCTACTGTACACACAAACCAAAGTGTCCAGACTAACAAGGTTCTACTGTACACACAAACCAAAGTGTCCAGACTAACAAGGTCCTACTGTACACACAAACCAAAGTGTCCAGACTAACAAGGTCCTACTGTACACACAAACCAAAGTGTCCAGACTAACAAGGTCCTACTGTACACACAACCAAAGTGTCCAGACTAACAAGGTTGTACTGTACACACAAACCAAAGTGTCCAGACTAACAAGGTCCTAATGTACACACAAACCAAAGTGTCCAGACTAACAAGGTCCTACTGTACACACAAACCAAAGTGTCCATACTAACAAGGTTCTACTGTACACACAAACCAAAGTGAACAGACTAACAAGGTTCTACTGTACACACAAACCAAAGTGTCCAGACTAACAAGGTCCTACTGTACACACAAACCAAAGTGTCCAGACTAACAAGGTTCTACTGTACACACAAACCAAAGTGTCCAGACTAACAAGGTTTTATTGTACACACAAACCAAAGTGTCCAGACTAACAAGGTCCTACTGAACACACAAACCAAAGTGTTCAAGACTAACAAGGTTCTATTGTACACACAAACCAAAGTGTCCAGACTAACAAGGTTCTACTGTACACACAAACCAAAGTGTCCAGACTAACAAGGTCCTACTGTACACACAAACCAAAGTGTCCAGACTAACAAGGTTCTACTGTACACACAAACCAAAGTGTCCAGACTAACAAGGTCCTACTGTACACACAAACCAAAGTGTCCAGACTAACAAGGTCCTACTGTACACACAAACCAAAGTGTCCAGACTAACAAGGTCCTACTGTACACACAAACCAAAGTGTCCAGACTAACAAGGTCCTACTGTACACACAAACCAAAGTGTCCAGACTAACAAGGTCCTACTGTACACACAAACCAAAGTGTCCAGACTAACAAGGTTCTACTGTACACACAAACCAAAGTGTCCAGAGTAACAAGGTTTCACTGTACACACAAACCAAAGTGTCCTGACTAACAAGGTCCTACTGTAAACAAAAACCAAAGTGTCCAGACTAACAAGGTTCTACTGAGCACACACACCAAAGTGTCCAGACTAACAAGGTCCTACTGTCGCACAAACCAAAGTGTCCAGACTAACAAGGTCCTACTGTACACACAAACCAAAGTGTCCAGACTAACAAGGTCCTACTGTACACACAAACCAAAGTGTCCAGACTAACAAGGTCCTACTGTACACACAAACCAAAGTGTCCAGACTAACAAGGTTCTACTGTACACACAAACCAAAGTGTCCAGACTAACAAGGTTCTACTGTACACACAAACCAAAGTGTCCAGACTAACAAGGTTCTACTGTACACACAAACCAAAGTGTCCAGACTAACAAGGTTCTACTGTCCGCACAAACTAATGCGTCCAGACTAACAAGGTTGTTGTGTACAGCCAAACGAAAGTGTCCAGACTAACATGGTTCTACTGTACACACTAACCAACGCGTCCAGACTAACAAGGTTCTACTGTACACACAAACCAAAGTGTCCAGACTAACAAGGTTCTACTGTACACACAAACCAAAGTGTCCAGACTAACAAGGTCCTACTGTACACACAAACCAAAGTGTCCAGACTAACAAGGTCCTACTGTACACACAAACCAAAGTGTCCATACTAACAAGGTTCTACTGTACACACAAACCAAAGTGTCCTAACACTAACAAGTACACACAAACCAAAGTGTCCAGACTAATACTGTACACACAAACCAAAGTGTCCAGACTAACAAGGTTCTACTGTACACACAAACCAAAGTGTCCAGACTAACAAGGTTCTACTGTACACACAAACCAAAGTGTCCAGACTAACAAGGTTCTACTGTACACACAAAACAAAGTGTCCAGACTAACAAAGTGTCCAGACTAACATGGTACTACTGTACACACAAACCAAAGTGTCCAGACTAACAAGGTTCTACTGTACACACACTAACAAGGTTCTACTGTACACACAAACCAAAGTGTCCAGACTAACAAGGTTCTACTGTACACACAAACCAAAGTGTCCAGACTAACAAGGTTCTACTGTACACACAAACCAAAGTGTCCAGACTAACAAGGTTCTACTGTACACACAAACCAAAGTGTCCAGACTAACAAGGTCCTACTGTACACACAAACCAAAGTGTCCAGACTAACAAGGTCCTACTGTACACACAAACCAAAGTGTCCAGACTAACAAGGTTCTACTGTACACACAAACCAAAGTGTCCAGACTAACAAGGTTCCAACTGTACACACACACAAACCAAAGTGTCCAGACTAACAAGGTTCTACTGTACACACAAACCAAAGTGTCCAGACTAACAAGGTCCTACTGTACACACAAACCAAAGTGTCCAGACTAACAAGGTCCTACTGTACACACAAACCAAAGTGTCCAGACTAACAAGGTCCTACTGTACACACAAACCAAAGTGTCCAGACTAACAAGGTCCTACTGTACACACAAACCAAAGTGTCCAGACTAACAAGGTCCTACTGTATAGACAAACCAAAGTGTCCAGACTAACAAGGTCCTACTGTACACACAAACCAAAGTGTCCAGACTAACAAGGTCCTACTGTACACACAAACCAAAGTGTCCAGACTAACAAGGTCCTACTGTACACACAAACCAAAGTGTCCAGACTAACAAGGTCCTACTGTACACACAAACCAAAGTGTCCAGACTAACAAGGTTCTACTGTACACACAAACCAAAGTGTCCAGACTAACAAGGTCCTACTGTACACACAAACCAAAGTGTCCAGACTAACAAGGTACACACAAACCCTACTGTACACACAAACCAAAGTGTCCAGACTAACAAGGTCCTACTGTACACACAAACCAAAGTGTCCAGACTAACAAGGTCCTACTGTACACACAAACCAAAGTGTCCAGACTAACAAGGTCCTACTGTACACACAAACCAAAGTGTCCAGACTAACAAGGTCCTACTGTACACACAAACCAAAGTGTCCAGACTAACAAGGTCCTACTGTACACACAAACCAAAGTGTCCAGACTAACAAGGTCCTACTGTACACACAAACCAAAGTGTCCAGACTAACAAGGTCCTACTGTACACACAAACCAAAGTGTCCAGACTAACAAGGTCCTACTGTACACACAAACCAAAGTGTCCAGACTAACAAGGTCCTACTGTACACACAAACCAAAGTGTCCAGACTAACAAGGTTTCTACTGAGCACACAAACCAAAGTGTCCAGACTAACAAGGTCCTACTGTCACACAAACCAAAGTGTCCAGACTAACAAGGTCCTACTGTCGCACAAACCAAAGTGTCCAGACTAACAAGGTCCTACTGTACACACAAACCAAAGTGTCCAGACTAACAAGGTCCTACTGTACACACAAACCAAAGTGTCCAGACTAACAAGGTCCTACTGTACACACAAACCAAAGTGTCCAGACTAACAAGGTCCTACTGTACACACAAACCAAAGTGTCCAGACTAACAAGGTCCTACTGTACACACAAACCAAAGTGTCCAGACTAACAAGGTCCTACTGTACACACAAACCAAAGTGTCCAGACTAACAAGGTTCTACTGTACACACAAACCAAAGTGTCCAGACTAACAAGGTTCTAGTGTACACACAAACCAAAGTGTCCAGTGTAACAAGGTCCTATTGTACACACAAACCAAAGTGTCCAGACTAACAAGGTTCCACTGTACACAAACCAAAGTGTCCAGACTAACAAGGTCCTACTGTACACACAAACCAAAGTGTCCAGACTAACAAGGTCCTACTGTACACACAAACCAAAGTGTCCAGACTAACAAGGTTCTACTGTACACACAAACCAAAGTGTCCAGACTAACAAGGTCCTACTGTACACACAAACCAAAGTGTCCAGACTAACAAGGTCCTACTGTACACACAAACCAAAGTGTCCAGACTAACAAGGTCCTACTGTACACACAAACCAAAGTGTCCAGACTAACAAGGTCCTACTGTACACACAAACCAAAGTGTCCAGACTAACAAGGTTCTACTGTACACACAAACCAAAGTGTCCACACTAACAAGGTTGTACTGTACACACAAACCAAAGTGTCCAGACTAACAAGGTTGTACTGTACACACAAACCAAAGTGTCCAGACTAACAAGGTCCTACTGTACACACAAACCAAAGTGTCCAGACTAACAAGGTCCTACTGTACACACAAACCAAAGTGTCCAGACTAACAAGGTCCTACTGTACACACAAACCAAAGTGTCCAGACTAACAAGGTCCTACTGTACACACAAACCAAAGTGTCCAGACTAACAAGGTTCTACTGTACACACAAACCAAAGTGTCCAGACTAACAAGGTTCTACTGTACACACAAACCAAAGTGTCCAGACTAACAAGGTTCTACTGTACACACAAACCAAAGTGTCCAGACTAACAAGGTTCTACTGTACACACAAACCAAAGTGTCCAGACTAACAAGGTCCTACTGTACACACAAACCAAAGTGTCCAGACTAACAAGGTCCTACTGTACACACAAACCAAAGTGTCCAGACTAACAAGGTCCTACTGTACACACAAACCAAAGTGTCCAGACTAACAAGGTCCTACTGTACACACAAACCAAAGTGTCCAGACTAACAAGGTTCTACTGTACACACAAACCAAAGTGTCCAGACTAACAAGGTTCTACTGTACACACAAACCAAAGTGTCCAGACTAACAAGGTCCTACTGTACACACAAACCAAAGTGTCCAGACTAACAAGGTCCTACTGTACACACAAACCAAAGTGTCCAGACTAACAAGGTTCTACTGTACACACAAACCAAAGTGTCCAGACTAACAAGGTTCTACTGTACACACAAACCAAAGTGTCCAGACTAACAAGGTTCTACTGTACACACAAACCAAAGTGTCCAGACTAACAAGGTCCTACTGTAAACACAAACCAAAGTGTCCAGACTAAAAAGGTTCTACTGTACACACAAACCAAAGTGTCCAGACTAACAAGGTCCTACTCTACACACAAACCAAAGTGTCCAGACTAACAAGGTCCTACTGTACACACAAACCAAAGTGTCCAGACTAACAAGGTTCTACTGTACACACAAACCAAAGTGTCCAGACTAACAAGGTTCTACTGTACACACAAACCAAAGTGTCCAGACTAACAAGGTCCCACTGTACACACAAACCAAAGTGTCCAGACTAACAAGGTCCTACTGTACACACAACTAAAGTGTCCAGACTAACAAGGTTGTACTGTACACACAAACCAAAGTGTCCAGACTAACAAGGTCCTACTGTACACACAAACCAAAGTGTCCAGACTAACAAGGTTCTACTGTACACACAAACCAAAGTGTCCAGACTAACAAGGTTCTACTGTACACACAAACCAAAGTGTCCAGACTAACAAGGTTCCACTGTACACACAAACCAAAGTGTCTAGACTAACAAGGTTCTACTGTACACACAAACCAAAGTGTCCAGACTAACATGGTTCTACTGTACACACAAACCAAAGTGTTGCAACCTTCATGATTCTGTACATAATAAAGGTACAATAGATTTACAAGATTCCATTGTACACAGCAACCCAAACTCCCTGAAGAGGTCATAGTATGTACTATGTCTTTAGCAAAGTCTGACTATATACATATAAAATATTGTTTGGCATGTCAGAACTTACAGGTTGTAGTGTGTGTCAGCCATGTTGGATCGGTGGACGAGAGCATTACGATAAGCTGTCTCTGCTTCACCTAATTTTCCCTGACTGTTCAACACATTGGCAAGGTTCCCCCACGCTGTAAAATTCAAAACATTGCTTTTTATAAACATCACAGCTATACTGTACAAAATAGTCAACGATGATAGCAATCACATCAAGTTGCTATCTTTAGTTCAAAGTTCTGCATTGAAAATGTCATGCACAAGTTTCAGAAAATGACCTGAATGTTTTTTTTTTCTCCTTTCAAATGCCATTGAATATGCAATTTGTTTGAGTGACAAAATACATTTGACTTCACTTTACAACATGCTGGAAAATAAAATGATTTTTAATTGAATTGGAATGTCAAGGGAATATAATTCGAAGGTCAGAATAACACCGTTTGAATGTCACTTGATCGTGATTTGAAAACTACCAGTATAACTATGACCTGGCCGAGTTTTAAAAAGCAAAGCATCATTGTGTAACATTAGACAACTTTTGGTATCAAATTAAACAAAGGGCTATAACATATTGGGGACCAAAAACCAGTAAGTGACATTATACCATCTTAGGATATCATTGCAATGACATTTGAAAGTAATAGGTGACCCAATGTACTACATCTGTTCCTCAAAAAGTGGTATGGTGAAAATAGGACTTGAAAGGAAGACTTAGTTGTATTCCTAAACCCTCCCGAATACACCAAAACATGCCATCAAATTTCGACAAAAGCAGGCAAAATATTGATTATTAAATGTAACAAGACAAATGTTGATGATCTGATAAATAAAGTGCTAATTCTATCTCTGATGTAAAATTCCCAATTAACAATAATTTTTTATTCTTTTTTAACAACAAAAGGTCTTTGCATATGTGACTTGAAAGCCCCCACTCCCATACAAATAAGAACTGTATCATTGTTTGAACAGTAAATGGTAACATGATCTTGGTAAGGTGACCTTAGAACTTATTTGAGGAACATGTATAGTATTGTCACATTTTTATACATTTTATCATAAAGACAGACTTATTGATGGGATGATATGGGACAGAATGTGATGGGACATCACAGAACGGGACAGGAGATGGCATGACATCGGAAGGACGGTATATGATGTGACATGATGGGATGTGATGGGCCTGGATGTGATGTAACATGATGGGATGTAACAGTATGTGATGTGACATAATGTGACATGATAGGACTGGATGTGATGTGACATAATGTGACATGATAGGACTGGATGTGATGTGACATAATGTGACATGATAGGACAGGATGTGATGTGACATAATGTGACATGATAGTACTGGATGTGATGTGACATGATGGGATGTAACAGTATGTGATGTGACATAATGTGACATGATAGGACTGGATGTGATGAGACATAATGTGACATGATAGGACTGGATGTGATGTGACATGATAGGACTGGATGTGATGAGACATAATGTGACATGATAGGACTGGATGTGATGTGACATAATGTGACATGATAGTACTGGATGTGATGTGACATAATGTGACATGATAGTACTGGATGTGATGAGACATAATGTGACATGATAGTACTAGATGTGATGAGACATATGTGACATGATAGGACTGGATGTGATGTGACATAATGTGACATGATAGGACTGGATGTGATGAGACATAATGTGACATGATAGGACTGGATGTGATGAGACATAATATGACATGAAAGGACTGGATGTGATGTGACATAATGTGACGTGATAGGACTGGATGTGATGTGACATAATGTGACATGATAGTACTGGATGTGATGTGACATAATGTGACATGATAGTACTGGATGTGATGTGACATAATGTGACATGATAGTACTGGATGTGATGAGACATAATGTGACATGATAGGACTGGATGTGATGAGGCAGGACAGGAGGGGATGGGGCATGAAATGGGACCTGATGGGACTGGATGGACATGGGTCAACACTATATCAGCACAAAATAATTGGTCAATGTGTCTTGTGCTTGTCTTTGTTAATACATATTGATGCAATCAATGTTGAAATATTTGTTGCAAATATTTGTTGGATAGTATCTTACCTTTAGCAGGGTTGACTGATACTCCAGAGCTATACAGGTTTTCCTCTGTCTGCCACACACGGTTTCTAAGCACTGTCTTGCCACAGAAGAGAGCCACTAGGGCCATGAAGCTGATCACAAATCCCCTCTGTGCCACTTTATTTCGCTGAAGCTTCTTATACACAACATGGCCACCATGTGCCACCAACAGGCAAAATCCCATACTTGGAATGTACAACACACGCTCTGCTATCACAAAACCCACATAGAAAAATAAATTTGTGGCAGGAATGAATGGAAAAACCATGAGTGCAAGTGCCATCACACAAATGTCTTGAGAGCGGTAGATTCTGATATCAGTGGCTTGGTCATCTTCACTGTCTGTTGAGCTATTGGAAGGACGCCGATTTGGCAATGAAAGTTTACTTTTTAATGAAGTCACATTTTTGTTATGGAGATGATGGTTGTTATTTTGACTACTGGAATGTGTGTAATGGGATAAACCATTGCCATTCAGATGTGGCTGGAAGGTTTTCTCAGTTGCACTGATATTGCTATTATGAAGATCACAAATTAACAAATATGATTTATAAAACAATAGAGAATAAAACATTATTGAAAATACATTGCGTACATCCCAGATTGTTTCGACTAATGGAATTGCGTCCATTGACCAATCAAAACTGAGCACTCTTGGACAAAATAATATCCACAAGTTAAGGGAAGGCAATAGTAAATAAGTTAACGCCCGAGTTAATAGGCTGTCCGAGTCAGAAGCTGGATTATCGGACGGCGCAAACTCTGGAGGTTTGTTTCCCATGAACACAAGACGGAATGTGATGAGTGATACACCGACTAGCACCAACAGAATGATCCCTTCCCGGATCTCTTTTCTCTTCACCTGTAACAGACAATCAAAATCAACCAAATAAGAATGAAGTTATTATACAAATTAAACAAAACTGTTTTAATCCTCAATACAAACTGGATAATAGGAGATAGCTGGTTACCAATCCTAGAAGAAGGATATATGAAAATTGTATCATAAATGGAGATAATTCTAAGACAGACATAGTAAAATAGAAATGGTATATCTTTACTGAAGTTTGAACGGAAAGCACCTGAAGAATATTGTATCTGGTAGTATACTAAAATTCATCCTTAAATTAATATAGAACATTTCATCCGTATTAACAATACATTCAATATACAATATGCATACTACAAAAAATCAAATTGGATTTGGAAACAAACTTATGTAAATTTGTCTCCTTAAATTTTTAATAAAAACTTAATTGTGTAAATGCTTGTTTCTATTATACATATCACATAACATGTAATAAAACTAGTCTGACAAAAATAAGTCATGGTGATGATGGCATCAATGATGATTGTCTAATTATAGTGAAAGAAGCCAACTGCTTGAAGTAATTCTGTTGTTAAGGGAAATCAATCTGAGAGCTTTTCCTCATTTTTCAGAAACTAGTTATAGGATAAACAAGTCCCTATGTGTTGAATCAAATTTCTAAATTTAAGAAATAATTCCCTACTTTCAATGATGTTTCAGACCAAATTTGGTTGAAATCAATTCAAGCATTAAAAAGGAGTAGCAATTTGAAGCAAAATATTGTCTTCTTTCCCTTCTAGGGACCCCGCCGTGAAGTCCCTTGGGGTTGAATCAAATTTCTGAATTTAAGAAAAGATTCCCCACTATGGATGATTTTACAGACTAAATTTGGTTGATATCCATTCAAGCATTAAAAAGGAGTAGTGTTTTGTAGCAATATATTGACAAATTTCCCCTTTTGGGGCCCTGCCCCCAAGTCCCTAAGGATCGAATCTAATTTCTGAATTCAATAAATAATTGCCTAACCTAACTGATGAATCAGGCCAGAGCTTGTTGAAATCCACCCTAGCAAAATGAAAGAGTAGGGTTTTAAATCTAATCTCAGCACCTCTCCCTTTGGGGCCCCAGTCCCTTAACCCCTAGGGGTTGAATTAAAATTCTGAATTTCAGAAATGATATCCCTCACCTAATGATGCATCAGACCAAATATAGTTGATATCCATCCAGGTATGAAAGAGGGGTATGGTTTTGAAAAAACAGTTAACACACGACGACAGAATAAGTATGATGACTATAGGTCATCTCGACACTTCCAAGTCAGATGACCTAAAAATTAAAATGTTGCTCACCTCATATCAATATCTAACTTTTAAAATAAATTCTATATATCACATTACCACTCTATGTAAGATCCTTCATATCATAATGTTATAGCAAATTGTTTACATATTGTAAGGAGTTACATAATACATCATTTCTGTTATGTTGCTAAAGCTTGTATGCTTTTGTATGACAGGAGTGGAGGATAAAACTAGCTGTTTTTCAGCTGTCTGTTTTGCCAATTCCAGAGTAAATTAAGAACAGTTGTAACTTTCCCTTCAGACAAATATATGAATTGAATCATCAAGTCAATAAAACAATGATTCATGTTTCCAAAACAGCAATTACAGGGAAATAGTTTCATTTCAAACCATGATTGATTTTAAAACAAAAGACAATTATAATAACAATGCCGAACATGAATGTGCAGTATTTATATCCAAGTTCACATCTCAGACAGAGGCAGACATAATGCACTTGATGACCTGCAATACACCTGAACCACACTGTGTCAGAGTATGAAGCTATTAAACAACTATTAACTAAACCTAAATATATACACAGACAATAGGACTGTTTTGTTGTACAGTGATCACAGACTTTCTACACAACAAAAAGTCTTGCCCACATTAAAGAACCCAAAATAAATTTTAATTAAATTATCAACAACTTTAATAAAAATGTTTATCAATACAAAATACCACTTAATAACAGTAGTATTTAATGTCAAAATTTAGTGTTAAACATTTTCTAATACAAACTGTTTCTACAAACAGCAAAGTAAGGGCCATAACTCTGAATATTATCCGTAATTAACCTATTCTTTTTTTTAACAAACACTTGACTATCACAAGAGGTACTTTGGTAAAACTTTGCCTGATGTGGGTGAAAAGAATATATGATTATGCCCTTGACAAGGTGAAACACAATTTCATGTACTGACACACCACCTATAGTCCCCACCAGTAGCTAAGTAATTAATATGACAGTATTTTTTATTGTAGATATCAAGTTGAATGCCCCATGCTTTTGTGTCATATCTCTGGCTAATTAATATCCTGCTGTTAAGGCTGTCCAATACGACATTTTAATTAACACTGATAGAGCATATCAGTCATAACAGGTACCAGCGTCATGCATAAGAGGTTTAACTGTGTTTTCCATGCCCCATAGTATCCTTCATCTGTGGCCTCTATCTGTGCCTAGTCATTATCAATCACACAGCATTGTACATATCCCTTATCTCAGGTGGGAAATATCACAGATTATAAAATGCACTCTCAATCTATTTTACAAAGTTTTATCATAATGTAAACACATCACTGAGTTCTGACCAACAAATATATCAAACTACATTGTACAAAGTATTTACACATTATCAAACACACATACAACCTTCTTCATCCCTAAAAAGAAAACAAATCAACAATTCTGAAGTACCTTATTGTATTGTGTTCTGAAGTACCTTATAGTATTGTGTTCTGAAGTACCTTATTGTATTGTGTTCTGAGGTACCTTATTGTATTGTGTTCTGAAGTACCTTATTGTATTGTGTTCTGAAGTACCTTATTGTATTGTGTTCTGAAGTACCTTATTGCAGTGTATTCTGAGGTACCTTATTGTATTGTGTTCTGAAGTACCTTATTGTATTGTGTTCTGAAGTACCTTATTGTATTGTGTTCTGAAGTACCTTATTGCATTGTCTTTCTTTCTTACTTATCTATAATTGGTTTCCATTGTTTTGGATGTGAAGATCCAAGTTTGTTAACTAGGAATGATTCATATCTTTACTCCAGTCATATTTTTTCATTTTACTAAAGTTCAGAAATAATTGATGGTTGACTTTCTCCATTCCTTAATAATAACAGCAGCAACACAATGGGGGCCTATATTTCTGTCTTGAATCACCATATCTGATGTGTAAAGACTTTCCAGTAATTTGCCTGTACCAGAATATGTTTTAAATCCACCCATACAAACTCTACAGCTGCAGAATGACGTATTACATTGTCCTGTATAAAGCCGATCCCCTCACTAAATCTAGTCAGTAATAATGCATGTAAAGGTTAGATTGTATTAAGTTAAATCTTCAGGGTTTTGAAAGGGGCGGAGCAAAGCTCAGAACGTTTCACTTAATACATTTAACCGTTTAACCATGCTACATGCATTTAACCTTTGACCCTTCTCCCACCACCCTGGCAGGTGTCAGTTCTGGTGTTGTGGCTGAAAGGTACAAGGCGGAGTCAATTATGGTCCAATTAAAGGTATACTTGCACATGATTGGCTAACCGATGTAAGGCAATGCGTTGATTGGAAGAGGCTGAAAAAGGGCAGTATTTTCTATTTGTTCTCGGTCATATAGTTAATTTTTATGAAAATTCTTCTGGTGTAAGCATGTCTGATTATGTGAGCGAGGCAGATTTTTAATATTGTGACTGATCTCATACAGCAAGGGGAACGATCAGTTGAGATACCCCTTGTGGACATTTTTAGGGATGATTTTAAGGATATTTTGAAAACAGAATGTGAAGACATTACTTCGACACAGTTGGAATATTCTATTCTGACACAGTCATTGTCGGCATTCCGAAATGAAACAAAAAAGAATTCTACAAGATTTGGTCCCACTCTTACATCAGACAATGTTGCAAAGAAACATATGGAAAGGATTCCGAAAAAAAACAGGACTAACACTAAGTGGTATGTTTCAATATGGAATGACTGGTTGGTGCACAGGAGGTCGTTACCTGAAACATATAATGAGCAATCAGTGCTTTAGTTATGTCATCTTATGAAATCATCATCACCACAAAGTGATGTCCTGGTTGATGTCCTGGTTGCGTCTTTGGGCAAGACCCATTATCCTAATTGCTTTTGCTTGGCATGTGATTGGCCTCTAATGTGTTGTTCAGTGAGGTAGCCATCAGCTACTACAAGGACACTCCTGCTTCACCCTGGCTGTTTACAACATGGAAAACCCATCAATTTACTACTTCATACTCGTAGATATAATAAATATATACTAAATGTATTAACTATATCATTCAAAACCAGCAGCAAGTGCTTTTATTTTAATAAAACTTGCCATATATATTGTTTTCTTCTTAGTTACTAACAAATACAACTTTATTGTCTGGTAATAAGCCCAACCCCTTAATTTGATTGAGAAATAATGTGTTGGCTCCCTGGGCTTATTACATGATAGATGCGGTCATACAAGAGCAAAACTTAATTTAATTTTGACAGCAGTTATGAGCTGAATTCTTACCCTTTTAGTCAGACCTAAACTAGTTGTTTTCAAAAAGTAGTGATTGACTACCATGTCACATTAGAAATAATTTAATCATAGGTGTAACCCATTTTTAAGAATCTTCGCTTGTACAAATTTGAATAACTTTCATGATCAAATGTAATGAGTTATTTGAGATATCAAACTCTGCGGTGACTAAAAAGGCAGTAGCAATTTTTAAAGCTAAACACCCATGAAATTATTTGTGTTGAACAATGACCTTTGGGAGGTAATTTTGGCAGAATAAATTAAAACTTGAGGTGATTTATTTACAGGCATGCTCTAAATGATACAGAAATTTATTACCTACTGGCTATAATGAATGTAGTCAAGATCATCACACTAAGATAAATATGCAGACTAAGCCATAAGTGTTACTCTGGGTAATTACATTATGCATTTTACAACTGAAATACATTTACTTTTGAAACTTTAAGGCGAGGAA